GTAGCTAAAGTATGGTTGAATTATAGCATTGTATACGGAAACGAGTGTTTTTTGATCAACATATTCTTTAATGCTTTTGAGAGCGTATATTCCAGATGATATCTTTTTACATATATTATCTGTTTTGCTCTTCGAACACAAATTTTCATCAACAGTCACACCTTTTGTTTTACATTGAAAAACCTGCTTTATGGGTATGTTTTGAATGTGAATTTTAAGTTGCTGAACAGAAGCTTTCTTCAGCATCTGTTTAGTACCAATAATTTGAAATTCAGTTTTCGTCACATTCAAACTCAGTTTGTTTGCCATGAGCCATTTACGAAGCATTTCTAAATCTGAGTTTACTGCATCTTCTAGCCAGCGTGGCAGGCTCTTTTATAAGTAGAGCCTGCCCGAAAGCCCTAGTCAAATTGATGCCGCCCACTTAGTTAATATTCCATATTAACACCGCCCACTCGAAATAGTTTTGTATAAATTGATGACTTAAAATTTTAATTGTTGCATATTTACTATAGCCTGCGCTACATGCTTTAAATAAACTTTTTACAATAGATGGATAGCGATTCAACTGCCTGGAAATACAAGCAAAACGTCAGCATTTCGAGCGAAGGCCCTTCGACTTTGTCTGGAAATTAGTAGTAGACGAAGACCGTTGAAAATTATATTATGCTTTGCACCTGTATGGCTATACTATGTGGCATCCCCCGAGCTGCGACGGGCATTACAAAAATAAATTATCCACAGAGATCAGCTGAGTTCAAGCGAGAATTGCAAACTGGCCAGCGGCTCAGGGGATGACAGATGTACGCCCGCGTGAGCAGATTTTCAAAACCCGCTCCGCCCGCGCGGGCAAAGCGACTGCAATGGAAACCGGCCTTTAGACACCCTTGCGAAACTGACATCCCAGAGCAGCAGCGTCAAGAAAGACTTACGAGTTTGTAGCAATAGAAATTACGAGATGCAAACCGAGTTCGCCGTTGGACGATCAGGAAAGCCATGCAATGGTCGAGACGTTGGATTGGATGACTTGAATCAAATCAAACGGTTACACAACTACAGAAAACTAGAAAAATGATACGACGCAAGTTGAATGGGCTGTTATAAAAGTTAAACGAATTCGATAAATATTGAAAACCAGCTATTAAGCGATTTATAATTGTTAAGTAAATTGTAACTATGTGTGAAACAATGGCTTCCAGGTGAGCCGCTTCTACAGAATTTATTATGCAGCAAACGAAGAAAATTTCAAAGGGGGCAGCAAACAACAATTAAAAATTTTCTTTAAGGACTAGCGAGTTACTCCAATGTTTAGAATTACGGACGTGTTCATGAAACGATTATACTACCGAAGCCATGCGTTGACGGCGATACATGGACACACTATATGCAAGAGAAATAAAACTAAGGATTGTAAGCATTCTATTATAAAGTTAAATGGTGAAACAAGACTGCACACAATCACAGAATAAAGACATACAGAAGTGTATCTTCTTATTAAAAGTGCGTAAGGGATTTTTTCAGTCCGCCATGTTCTTAGCAAGTGCCCTAAAGAGAGGCAGTCACGCCCCTGAAAACATATTGAAAATTTAATATTCCAGGGGAGTGAATGCCTCTCTTTAGGGCACTTGCTAAGAACATGGCCGCCAGCTATTTCGGCAAAAAAGCGCCTTACGGTTTTGTAATGGAAGTTACACTTCTGTATGTCTTTATTCTGTGACACAATGAAACAATACGCCCATTTAGTACATTCATTACTGGCCAAACTCGCCGTTCATATAACCTTAATTCTGCTGGTCAGGTCTTTCGCAGTTCCAATATATCGCTCGGGCGTTGTACAGGTAATGACGGTTTTAATTAGATTTCGGACCATGTATATTATATGGCCTGACCGAGCGTTGAATTGATACATTTCCAGTAATAGTCCGTGCATGCTGTCAACAACAAAACGATAACTCTGATCTTCATCGACGAAACTTAATGCCAGTGTTAACTCATGGTTTCGTCTTCGAGTATTAGAGCGAGAAACGAGCATGTTTCTCGCGCTCGCACAATCAATGATCTACAGGGTGTATAAAAAAAAGGAGACCTTTAGAAATCAAGCATATTGTTAAAATTTGAATGCCTTTTCAATTTCACATATGCTGAACCGTGGTGCGTGAAATTTGATGGAGTGCATATATTAGAAAAAGGAGACCTTTAGAAATCAACCATTGTTCTAATTTGAATCCTCGAGCATTTTGCTAAGCCCACGAGTGCGTAACATGCGATCTACGTACAGTATGCATGGCAGATTGTTCCCAGGAGCAGACAGTCTTTTGTTTAAACGTTATTTCAATTTCTAAAGGTCT